TGACCTCTTTCAAATGCAATTTAACGATGTATTTCCGTGATATCTGTTTGTAAGGACAGAATAAAACACTCTTTTCCTCAAAAAAAAAAAATTATAAAACTGCTTTAAAATGAATTCTAAAGAGAATTTTTCGTGGCGTCTGTACGAACGTATGTACGTACGTGCGTACGTACATACGTATCTTGCATAACTCAAAACGAGTAGCCTCAGAGCGTTGAAATTTTGTATATAGGACTGCTGAACGCTGCTCAAGTGGACTGCCGCCCCTAACTATAGTAAGCCTTACGGTATTTGTTTCCACTTGGCAGATACTGTCTAATCATGACTCGCTGATCCGACAGCATTTATTATTTCAAAATCTTAGGTTTCATAATCACTCATTATTTTACATAGGTTTTTAGTATCTATAACTGCCTGGTTGTTAACTCAAGTTCTATTTTAACTACTACGCTGCTAACTATACTACACTACTTAACATGGGCAATGTTGCTATAATTCCTTTACACTACAATACTACTTCAATGTTTTACACTAGACCACACTACATTTTACACTGAGTACTATACATTGTAACAATATCATATATAAATGCAAGACATAGAAGAATATATTAATGCAAGACATAGAATATCCTATATAAATGCAAGACATAGTAAACCTGGTTATAAATATAATACGATAATATTAGATCATTTTTCTATCGCACAATTTAGAGTACAATACAATGCCTACGAAACTTTACACTCTAGTACTATAAGCTACAAAAGTACAAACTCGGCTAGAATTGCATTTTACATTGGGTACATTACATTGTGATTCTATTATATATATGTACAAAATTTACAAAATATATAAGCATTAAAGTCGCATAACCTCATACTACTACTTATACAGATTTACTGAACAATTACTGTAAATACAGTAGCTCTATATCTTGATTACAATTCACACTGTACTAGTTAGCCATATTATTGCAAAATTAAGAAATAATATACAATGTTATCATCAAACCATACACTGTTATTCATTATTGATGCAGGTACCCAAAGATGATACTATAAATGAAAAATGCTAAGGTTAGGTTACAATACACTTTTCAAAACCATTCCTAGTTAGCAAATACAGTGGAACTACCAACAACATGATTTAAACATTGATATTTCAAGCATAAAGCATAGTCCAATTTATATTCTGTACTCTAACTTTAAAAAAAAAAAAAAAAAAAAAAAATTTTTTTTTTTGTTTTTTGTAAGCAATAGGTTATGCCTCCATCTATGCTGAGTAAATAAATAAATATAATTCTGCCAATGATGGAATAGAAACAATTCAGCAATGATTCAGTTATATAACTAGTAATTTTTACAATACGTTTTAATGATTCTTTCAGTTATGAGACTTATTAATTGTAGGGTAATCTAAAAGTCACAAAGATGTGTACAATGAAAAATTAAGAATCTATGCACCAATGTGGTTAAATCACACAAACATTGAACAGTTCAAGGTTCTGCAATGGTAATAAAGCTAATGTTATGTCATTCACAAGGAAGTCTTTACCCTAAGATGATCCTTTAATTGTGAGCGTACAAGGTACAGATGTGTGCAGTAATTGTCAATTATTCTGAAGTGTTCGCTCTGTTTATGCCTGCATGACTCTGTGCACAGTACTTTAATACCTCATTCAATTTGCGTTTAGCAATACTATTCTTGCAGATTGTTTCTGCCCATTGTGGCCAAAATAAATCACTTGGTCTCCTCAGGTGATAAGGTTTGGTGGATGCACAATGGAAGAGATAGTGATCTGGATCACCTACCTCTCCACATTCACAGAATTCTGTTCCGCTTAAGTGGAACCTCTTTAAATAGGTAGGGAATGGTCCATGTCCAGAAAAAAAGTGGGTCTGTGCACCGTTCGTGACTTTTGCTACAGTTCCCACTTTTGGAAAAAAAAAAAAAAAAAAAGAGTAGGTCCTTCTACCCGTGGGTGCTGAGTCCCACCTTTCCTGCCACTGGCATAATAAATTTTCAAGAGTACTTCTCTTGAGATAAGATGTTGGGAGTTTCACAGGATATTCTCTCAGGTTTTTATCATTTGCTGCCGATTTGGCAAGCTCATCTGCCTTTTCATTGCCTGTGATGCCCACATGAGCTGGGACCCAGACCAAGTGTGGACGTAAGGAGGGAGGGCAATGCAAAAGAATTTTTTGAGCTCTTGTACATAAGAGCTCCTGCTTTTATTTCCTCTAATCGCTGCCAGGCTAGAGGCCGAGTCACTGAAGAAGATTGTTGCTCTGAATCTAAGTGAATAAACTGCAAATTTAATTTAACTGCTGCTTTTAGCGCTGCAACCTCTGTCTGAAAGACTGTATTTCTAATATCTAGTCTTCTTTTCCATGTTTTAATAATAGTCTCCCCTTGTAAAGCGCAAAATGCACTACCGGCGCCTCGCTCTGTTTTGGATCCATCGTGTAGAGGCTGAAGCTGTTTTTTTGAAGATGCCTACACAAGTTGGATGCTATCGGACAAGTCTATGTCTGCGGGGTGCCCTAAAAGAACTGGTTTGTGCTTTTCATAGTCTGTGTGATAATAGTTCTGATTCCATAATGTTGCATTCTCATCTAGTCTCAGCACTCTTGCCAATAGGGATTCCCGTTCTGCTTGTAAGTCTAATGGTGGTATACCAGCAAGCACTTGAAGTGCTGCTGTAGAAGTGGTTCTGTATCCTCTGCATATCAGTAATAATTGCATTCTTTGTATTGTGAGCAATAGTTTACTCATATGTGAGGAGATATTTTTCCCCCAAATTGCTGCACCATACAAGATAATCCTCTCGGATATAGTACGATACCAACTTCTCAGAATATTGGCTGACGTTCCCCACTGTATTCTTGCTGTTTTGAGCATGTTATTTGTAAGGCTGTTTATTTTCTGTTTCACCTCCTTCAGGTGTGGAAACCAAGATAATTTATTATTAAAAGTCAGTCCCAAGTACTTCAGATTGGGCGCGCATTTGATTGGTATACCGTTCATTTTAATGGACGGATTTCTTTTTGGAATACCTTTCCTACCTATGTAGAACAATTGGGTCTTCGTTGCAGAGATGATCAGTTTGTGACTCTTTGGCCCAGGCTGCAAAGTCGTCGACTGCCTTTTGCGCCTTTTGTACCACGTCTTTCCTGCTAGTAATGACTAAAAGAAAATCATCTGCCAAGGCTTGTATATTCACATTTGGATTATTATCAAACAGAGTAAAGGCTGTGTTAGCCACCAAATTCCATAACGTGGGTCCCAAGCAGGAACCTTGGGGGCATCCTCTTTGCAGTTGGTAATTGATAACCTCTTTATTCGTAGTAACCTGTACTCCTCTATCTTGCAGATAACTTCGCAAGAGCTTGATTATTTCAATATGGATTTGTGCATTATCCAGGCATTTAATTACGTCTGGCCACCATAACGAATCGAACGCCCCTTTGATATCCATTGCCACTACTACTATTGTGTATCTGTCATTGTTCCTGCTGGCTTCGATATTCTCCAGAAGGTTCTTAAGTGCCCCATCTGTAGACTTCCCCTCACACAGAAACCAAACTGACTTTTGTTGATGTAATTTTTAATCTTAAGAAAGTAGTTGAGCCGCGCTAAAATGACCTTCTCTAGTACCTTGCTAATGGAAGGGAGAAGACTAACTTGTCTATATGCTCCCGGATCCGATGGATCTTTACCTTGCTTGTGGAACAATGGTACTTCTGCCCACTTCATGGCCCTAGGAAAGTGTCCTATTTTCCAACAAGCCCTACATAACGAAAGAAAAAAGTTGAGGGAACTCATGATGAATATATTTGATCATAATATTATCGATGCCATCCGGTTCCCGGAGCTTTCTTGTTTACGAGGCCTTTGACTATTCTAGTAATTTCCTGAATGGAAGGGAGCTGATGGTCATGCTTTTTTTTCCTGGTCCAAAGAAAGTTTCGAAAGTTATATCTTGTTTGCCCATGCTCATCAAAGTCATCCCTTACATCATCCTTGGGAAAGATAGTGGTGAGCACTGACAGGAGGACATCTGATATGCTAGAGGCACTTGGTGCCAGTTTTGCGACCAGCTGAGTTGGGCGAAAGACTCTATCTGTTGCGATTTTTTGCACTGGGCCATAAGTCTCTTTTAGATTGGAACAATGTTTTTTCCAAGATTCAGTTTTCGCTTTCTGTATGTGCTTTCTGTAGAGAGCACGCTCTTTCCTGTACTTTAACATTTTTACGGATCTTACTTTTTCTTCTTGTTCTGCCTGTGCCAGCCTCCTCAAGGCCCGTACTTTGCTTCTATGAGCTGTGAGACTGGGATTCCACCAGGACAATGGTTTGTCAACTTGAATGGCTTTCCTTTTGTAGGAAGCACTTGCTGCCTGAGTGATATTCTTTACTAGAGTATCATACGCCTCATCTAGTTGGACTGGTGTGGTACAATTATTTAAATTTTCTTGGTTAATTACGACATACGGCCTGAGCTTTTCTAGAAATTTCTTGTGTCCCCCAAAGCAAGTCACAAGCACAAAAACACGTAATGCACACTTTGCAAAAGCAAATTGCAGAGACATTATGCACAAATTGAACACTTTCATTAACTGAAAAAGAAAACTTGACACTATTAAAAATTACCATTCACACTGCTGATGATTATCGCACACATTGCCGCTGATTAATTGGTACCTGAATAACTATCGCATACTCTGCTACTAGTGATTAAATAGCACACACTAAGTAACTAAATGACCTGTTTGTCACTGCTGGATTATTCACACACACTGTTGAGGGTAGGCAAATTTTCAGATCACTAATGCTGTAATCGCCCCGACGACTAAGTCAAAAAAAAAAAAAATCGACAAATGTTGTAGAAAATGAACCACTCGTCCGATTCCTTTCAAATTTTTAAACTTGTGATCCTCTCATGCCGTCTAGGTGATTAAACTTGGTCCTGTTATTCTGGAATGAGTTCCTTTTGAGAGATGCTTGGTAAAACAAAAGCACCGTTCCCTTTGAACGGCGCTTTGAATGAGAGAGTCAATTTGAGGGGAAATACAATAGCGCTTTCCTGGGGTTTGCAGGGGGGAATACTGCTTTCGGTCAAGTCGTAAATTAAGTGTCCGACGGTGCAAGTTGAAGCGAAACGATGCAGGGCTTCGTGTTGGGAGGTCGAAATGCTTGAGCACAAAGGAAATACAAAGTCGTGATATGAAAATCACTAATTAATCCATATCTCCCTGATTGATATTATAACTGAATTAATTAACTACATCCGAGAAGACTATATCATTTAAAAGATCTCTTAAAGACGAAACTTTTGATATCAAATTTATTCGCCAATGATAAAAAATACGCGTTAAAATAATCCAAGTACAGGAGCTTAATGAAACGCGTCTTTCTCCTTCTGAAGCGGTCACACTCTCTCATATACGACTGCTATAACATGTAGATGTGCACCTCGTATTTTGGTTGCAATCGGCCGCACCAAACGTATATAAATATATTTATATAATTTATCAAGCAAAGCAGTAATAACAATTTGTGAAAAACCAATTTGGTCTCTAGAAAACATCTTGCGCAATATGCTGCAAAATAAGTAAAATATAAAAATTGTAGAAAGCTCGCCTAAAAGTTACCAAGAGCTGCTGCTCCAAAAGGTTTTAAAACGTTTTCAAAATTAATACACATGAAAAGCAAATCATTAGACATGTAAAACATAAATAAAATTAAAAAACTGAAAAAGTTAAAAGTAAGCGGAAAATGGTAAATTAGCCAAATTCGACTTCCAAACAGGCTTTTCAAGGGAAATTTCATTATTTGAACGTCGAATCAAGCTAACCCCATACGCGTTTCGCCGAAACAGACAATTGAAACATTTTCGCTAAAAAAATTTTTTTGACAAAGTGTCTTGGAAATTTTAATAGTCTCAATTCTCTGTTCCAATTTCCGACGCGTCCGCTCAGAATGACACATTAAGGTGTTAAAATATGTTAATCAAAATCAAAACTTCCTAAATCTAGTCTAAAATTAAAATCAAAACGAAATAAATAGCGATGAGCTATTAGTCCTAAAAATACAAAACATTACGGGCTGGGCCTGGAAGCTTAAAGATTAACAATTTAATTATAAAATAATAGATTTAGTAGAAAACTGTAAGGAAACCTGTAATTAATATTAAAAATAAAAAATTAGGAAAAAGAACGAACAAAACTCAGTGGGTCTTGCTAAGACCAAGAAAACGTTGTAACAAAAGAAACAAAAAACTGACCTTTGGCGATGCAAAGCTGTCCCTCTGAAACTTGTTTAAAAATGGCTGCTAACTTCTAGCGTCTTATTTTGGATGACGTACGGAGGGGAGCGAAGTGCTGTGGGCGTTTAGCCAATGCGAAGTGATTTTCGTTGTCTGCAACTCGTCTCCTATTATCGAAGGGGGCCGGAAACCTCGGAAACCGTGTAAAGAACTCAAAAAATGGCGCTTGGCTTGTAGTAGGATGGAAAAATTTTTTTCGAAGTGAAAATGGCAAATTCAGCTAAAACTATAAAAACTTGGCCATTAAAGCATGGGAAAAAGGAAAAAAAAAAAAAAACAGTCATTTGTTAAAAAGTCGTAATTTTTCAAGCTAGGCGGGGATCAAGCTACTATGAAAAATGAAAAAAAGCCCGATTGTTAATAAAGCAGTAAAATTGGCCATTATAGAAATTTAAGATTTAAAATTATGTACACAATAGTATTTAAGATTAAGTGCCAAAAATTTTTTTGAGGAAAGAGAATGAATAAACAAGAATTTTCTGTACATTTTACAATAGATTCTCTGAATTAGCCATCCTTCTTAAACCGTCCGTAGCTTTAGGTATAAAAAAAAATCATTATCTAATTCAAAAAATCTATAATAGGTAAGGCTAATGCCAGCTTTGGTAAGGGAATTTTTAATATATTTATGTGGTATTTGGATACTTTTTAAAATAGTTACGAAGTATAGTATTTCTTCTGTAAGTGTTCCGCAGTATAGCAAATTCTTTTCATTCTAAGTAGCTGTGAATAAATTTGTGTTGATTATGACTTTTTGGAAATATTGAATTCCAGTTAGTGAGTTTAAGTGTGGAAAAATTAAATTCTCTTCTTTTATCGTAAACTTTAATAAAATGGTAATCTATAATATGTAAATCAAGTAGACTACATCATGCTGTTCTGTATTAGTTTTATTAAGTTTTAAGCAAGCAGGGTAGATATTAGCGATTTCTATTTTGTTGTAGTTATTGAATGCTATGACATTATCAATATATCTATAGATGTGTTGGAAAGAGAGACTTTCTTCCGTACTGAGTGAACGTACATAGGTCAGTTCTTTAGTGAACAGGAATAATTCACAAACTGAAGTTGAAAAATTCCCGCCCATAGGTATTCCCTGAACTTGTTTATAGATGTAATTGTCAAACTGAATAAAATTATTGAAGAGAACGCTGGTAAGGAATAGCTGCCATTTTTCGTTGCTGAGAATGGTAGAAATTTGTGGAAATAAATCTGGAAGAGCAAGTAAACTTGTAAAAATTTCTTCGAGTGGTAGAGATGTATAAAGGTTTTCAAGTTCGTAGCATTGGATATGTTCTATTTGAAGGGAATTCAGAGTTTAATAACTTGTTCATTACTAGAGATCATCCAGTTTGCAATGCAAACCTTTAAATCATAGTTATTGATTAGTTCACGAATCATACGAAGTTTTTGCGCAAAGAGATAATCTATTTCTTTGAGATAACTTTTGTACTATTAGCTATGAACCTAAATTTAATTGGAGACTTATGAAATTTCGGTAAGGCATAGAGATTTGCAAACCTGTTGTTATATTTCTGGGGTTGTATTTTAAGTCTTTTATGTAGTGCTTTAAATTTATTTAGAAGAATCTGAGTACTGGAAGTTATTTTTTGGTAAGTGCAAGTGTTATTTAACTCTTTATGCAGAAGGTTGTAGTAGAAGTGTTGTCAAATAATACTAAAATTGTTGCTTGCTTTGTCAATCTTCGTGATGATAAGGTTATGTTGCAATTTTTGAATGAGATCCTCCAGGCGTTTTTTATTGTGTAAAGATTTGAAATTAGGCGCCTTGAACAGCAAACATTGAAATTCTTTTATAAGTGCAGCTTTCCACTCAAGAAAGGTTGTAGTGGGTAAATTGGATCTTGTACTAGCAATAATAATAAATTTATCTAGATCATTATTGAATTGTTTGAGGCAGACGTGTCTATTAAGACTGAAAGTGGGACGAAATTTGGTGCCAAGTTGCATAAGGTTACGTAATTCAATATTTTCTACAATATTAAGATCTCCTGTGACAATATGTTGGTGGAAAGGATCGACATATTTTCTGTAGATAGGCATTTGGCAGTTACATGTGCTATGATCTTTTATAACGTGGTGGTTTATAACTAGTTGACCCAAGGTTTTTTCAAATTTAAAACAGGGTTTAATCTGGAGTAGTTGGTTAGGAAGCAAGTGCTGACATTTCTTAAAAATGCTAGGAATTTTGAACTTATCGTAAGATGGGTGTTTGAACTGAATAGTACAAAAAAGTTTTTTGTGAAAAAAATTACTGTTTTTTAGTTTAAAATTGCAGAAGTCTAAAATAAGATCCTTGACTATTTTGAAGCATTGAGATGGTTGATTTACTGTTTTAATCAGATTCCATAAGGTAGTATTCTTAAAGGTATGAAGAAGTTTAATGGCATTTTTTGCGAAGTCTTGATGTCCAAGGTAGGAATTAAGATTGTGAATAATTAATTTCAGATCTTGTGACGAAAAAAATTTTTTGTTTTTAGCATCACCTCCTCTAGTTCCTCTGTAAGTAGTAGTGCTAAAAAATCTGAATTGTCCATATATAGAGATCTCGTGCTGCCTATTAGTGGTATTACTGAGATATGCATTGAGTCCTTAAGGATAAAGTGACTTATTTTGAAGTATGTAAATCGATTCCTTAAACAGTCGAATTTGGTGTTTGGAACAATATCAAGCACGTTAATTTCTATGTGATCAAAATTATGTTGATTATAATGTTCAAGAATAGCTGTAAGTTGATGATCTTTGGTGCTATTATTGTTTTTTATTTTTAAATCTTTTGATATGAGATCTATGATTATTAATTCTGAGGTTGAGAGGGTTTTTTGTTTGACCTATATATGTGAGAGAACATTCTTTACAGGTGATTTGGTAGATGCAATTGTATGTTTTTCAAAGTGATTGTGTTTTACTTGCAGTAGAAGGAAGCGGAGTAGCATTAGCCTTACAGGTTTTTCAAAGCTGGTTGCTTCATTTAATTTATTTTTATGTTATTTATCTGAGCCAGTGATTGAAAGTAAAGAGGGAGCTAGCCTGCTTTACAGAGTTTTTTGAGAGGAAGACTAACCTATCGTGAAAGTGGAACTGTTAACAGTTCCTGGCAACTTATAAGCTAAAGCTCAAAACCCTGAAAAACTGAATACATCAGAACTTACTGACACTTTTTTGCGCTAATACCTGCGAAAAAGAAATAATTTATCAAGCAAAGCAGTAATAACAATTTGTGAAAAACCAATTTTGGTCTAGAAAACATCTTGCGCAATATGCTGCAAAATAAGTAAAATATAAAAATTGTAGAAAGCTCGCCTAAAAGTTACCAAGAGCTGCTGCTCCAAAAAGGTTTTAAAACGTTTTCGAAAATTAATACACATGAAAAGCAAATCATTAGACATGTAAAACATAAATAAAATTAAAAAACTGAAAAAGTTAAAAAGTAAGCGGAAAATGGTATAAATTAGCCAAATTCGACTTCCAAACAGGCTTTTCAAGGGAAATTTCATTTATTTGAACGTCGAATCAAGCTAACCCCATTACGCGTTTCGCCGAAACAGACAATTGAAACTTTTTCGCTAAAAAAAATTTTTTGAAAAGGTCTTGGAAAATTTTAATAGTCTCAATTCTCTGTTCCAATTTCCCGACGCGTCCGCTCAGAATGACTCATTAAGGTGTGTTAAAATATGTTAATCAAAATCAAAACTTCCTAAATCTAGTCTAAAATTAAAATCAAAACGAAAATAAATAGCGATGAGCTATTAGTCCTAAAAATACAAAAATATACGGGCTGGGCCTGCAAGCTTTAAAGATTAACAATTTAATTATAAAATAATAGATTTTAGAAAACTGTAAGAAAGCCTGTAATTAATATAAAATAAAAAATTAGGAAAAGAAACGAACGAACAAACTCAGTGGGTCTTGCTAAGACCAAGAAAAAGTTGTAACAAAAGAAAGAAAAAACTGACCTTTGGCGATGCAAAGCTGTCCCTCTGAAACTTGTTTAAAAATGGCTGCTAACTTCTAGCGTCTTATTTTGGATGACGTACGGAGGGGAGCGAAGTGCTGTGGGCGTTTAGCCAATGCGAAGTGATTTTCGTTGTCTGCAACTCGTCTCCTATTATCGAAGGGGGCCGGAAACCTTGGAAACCCTGTAAAGAACTCAAAAAATGGCGCTTGGCTTGTAGTAGGATGGAAAAAATTTTTTCGAAGTGAAAATGGCAAATTCAGCTAAAACTATAAAAACTTGGCCATTAAAGCATGAGAAAAAGGAAAAAACAGTCATTTGTTAAAAAGTCGTAATTCTTCAAGCTAGCGGGCGATCAAGCTACTATGAAAAATGAAAAAAGCCCGATTTGTTAATAAAAGCAGTAAAATTGGCCATTATAGAAATTTAAGATTTAAAATTATGTACACAATAGTATTTAAGATTTAAGTGCCAAAATTTTTTGGAGGAAAGAGAATGAATAAACAAGAATTTTCTGTACATTTTTACAATAGATTCTCTGAATTAGCCATCCTTCTTAAACCGTCCGTAGCTTTAGGTATAAAAAATCATTATCTAATTCAAAAAATCTATAAATAGGTAAGGCTAATGCCAGCTTTGGTAAGGGAATTTTTAATTATTTTATGTGGTATTTGGTTACTTTTTAAAATAGTTATGAAGTATAGTATTTCTTCTTGTAAGTGTTCCGCAGTATAGCAAATTCTTTTCATTCTAAATAGCTGTGAATAAATTGTGTTGATTATGACTCTTTTGGAAATATTTGAATTCCAGTTAGTGAGTTTAAGTGTGGAAAAATTAAATTCTCTTCTTTTATCGTAAACTTTAATAAAATGGTAATCTATAATATGTAAATCAAGGTAGACTACATCATGCTGTTCTGTATTGGTTTTATTAAGTTTTAAGCAAGCAGGGTAGATATTAGCGATTTCTATTTTGTTGTAGTTATTAAATGCTATGACATCATCAATATATCTATAGATGTGTTGGAAAAAGAGACTTTCTTCCGTACTGAGTGAACGTACATAGGTCAGTTCTTTAGTGAACAGGAATAATTCACAAACTGAAGTTGAAAAATTCCCGCCAGGTATACCCTGAACTTGTTGATATATGAACTTGTTTATATAAGCCTGTTTTTAATGGCGGCCATTGATGTTTACATTTGAAACAGGAGACTAGTGGATTTGTCGCCAATCTAGAGAAACTTAGCTTCGTAATAACAAGGATAACGCATTCATTTATTATTGCCAATTAAATCATGCTTAATTCTTTCTGGAATTTTTTCGAGAAAATAAGCGTTTAAGATTTACTTCGTAATTTTTAATATAGATATTTTGATTTTTTATGTAGTTTTGTCTTCTCGCGAAGTGAGAACTGAATTAATTAAATGAGAAATACTCAATCGTCTGTGAAAAACTGTTTCTTTTTTTGTCTTGTTTGCTTAATTTCTTTTATACATAGTCTAGCTTTATTTTATTAGTATTTGGATAGAACATGTGGCAGCGATTAGATAATTCTTTAAATGATATAAATTTTGTGCATTCTGAGTTATAATATGAACGAAATATAATACTGTTAAGTAAACCTAGCGCCAGAGTGTCGCTATGGTAAACAAAGTGAATTTTAAAGAATGCATTTATTCTATTGTGGTTTATTCAATCCAATAAGTTTAAATGAAATGTAAGAAAAAATGCGTATAATTTAATATTCCGTACAAGGAAGTCATGTGTGGTGTACACATCAGATTTTTATCTTTATATATTTTTGGTAATATACTTTTTTGCTAATTTTGATATTTCTGAGTTGGCAGTCCTTACTTATTAGTCCTGCATCGGTAAATATCCTTTCGTTTGTACAAGGTATATCATAAATTGCACAGGTATTAGAAATGTAGTAAATTAGTCAAAGCCACATAAAAATTTAAACCTTCTGTTTTATTTTCTTTTATACATACTTTTCTTAATTACTGGAAAACGAGATTTGAAATATGCGAACCACAAAATGTGGACGTGCCGGAACGAACCTTTCAGAGATTTATTTGGTGATTTCTTCAATGGCCTGTTGAATTTCATTTTTGGTTTGTTCGCATAAATGTTTGATTTTATATCACCCTATAAAAAGAAGTTGAAAGGGATAAGATCACATATCCTCCCAGGCCTAAGAGAACTTGGTCGCTTTTAAGAACTCAGATTACCCATCAGGAAACTTTTCCATGAAGCAAGAATCTCTGAAAAGTATTGCTAGCTCCTTAAAATCACATATTCATGGTCTCCAGTTTAGCCTGTTTATGGATAAGTGCGGTGGATAAATTGGTGTGTCTGTTCTAAAATAACAGAATATAGAATAAATAGGCCTCCAGAGTTCACATCATTACCTGCTTACTACATTCCCGAACAAATACTTTCAAGAAAACTTTATGCTTATGAAATCTTCAAAATGATTCGACGAAAGTAGAGAAGTTTAAAATACGTGCCTATACATTTATCACTTCCCTTTATTTACATACCTTTGCGCGTCAAATCTATGTAAAAATGCACGAAAGAGAACAGCAAAACACAGAAAACAGTTTCGTAAATGTCCACATTCTTTCACTGCAAAATATTGTGAAACAGGCCAAAATATTTAGTTTTTATTCTGATTACTCGTAAAATTGGCTTTATGACTTAAAACATAAGATCGCTTCTGGTTTATTTATAGAGCTCTGTGTTCCAAATCCTTGCAGAAACGGCGGAACGTGCAAGGTGAAACAGGGAAAAGAGATTTGTGAGTGTCCAGAGATTTTTGTTGGAAAACACTGCGAAACAAGTGAGTTTAGTTTCTCACTTTTTCATATATCAAAATGTGCATTATTCTTTGAAATGTAAGTTTTTATAAATCTGTTTTCTCACAGAACTTTGCGACCCAAATTCTTGCAAAAATGGAGGAACCTGTGTAGGGAAAGATGGAAAAGAGTCTTGTGAGTGTCCAGATATTTTTATTGGAAAGCACTGCGAGACAAGTGAGTTTAGTTTTTTATTCTGACTGCATATCAGAAGGCATCGTGTCCCCTCTTAGCTTTTCGTTACTGCATACATTCTAAAGATGCCATCAAAATTCGTGCCATTTTAGGCTTTCTGTTTCCTTCTACAAGTGTTCAGGGAGAGAAGAGCAAAAATCGGGGAATTTCTGCATTTCCTTCTGATCATAGAAGAATTTTTTTTCTTTACCGAATAATTATTTTCGAAAATTCAAAGCACATTACAGCTTTAAACAGTAGTGAACGCGTACCAGACTGATTGCATTAAATTTATTGTACCCCTTGGGCATCTAATTTTCATCAGCGAGAAAACCTAGGATAAAAAATGTTTCAAATGGTTTTACAAGAATAATGCCTTTACGTTAACTGCACAGCTCTGTTCCAGTTTTGAAGAGACTCAATCAAAACTAAAAGAGCGTTCCTTGGCGAGACCCAGGGTCTTCTCTTCCACCAAACCACTAGACAGAACTTGCAACTCACCAATATTTAAAGTTCTTTCATGCAGTACAAACATATAACAACTCTTATAGAAACCAAGCCTTCTACAAAAGACAGTAGAATATTAAAATGTATGGCAAACGTATGGCTCATTTACACTAGTGAAGGTCTGAATTCAGGAAATGTGCGCAAAACTGTATAACGGACATAGTTTCATATGCTCAGAAAACATTTACCTATTGAAATTCTGGATGGCATCGTCATCCAGCTTGTGTATTTATTTTTGTAATAAATGCATAGATACTCGATTTAATCTCGAAACTACAGTGCTTTTACTTCCTTGCACGAAGTAAAAAGGAAGTATTGTAATTGTGAAAAATTTCGGGTATCATATTTCAAGGAAAATATGCATTTTGACCGCTATCAAATGCTATTTAACGATGTTTTTGCGTGACATGTGTACGTAAGGACAGAATAAAGGACCCTTTTACCCCAAAAAAATTATAAAACTGATTTAAAATGAATTCTGAAGAGAATTTTTCGTGGCGTCTGTGCGTACGTACGTATGTATATATGTATCTTGCACAAAACGATTGGCTTCAGAACGTTGAAAGATTGTATATAAGACTGCTACACTGACTACCAATAAGTATTTGGACACCTGTGATAGAAAAGAAAAACTAACTTTATTCAAAATCAATATTTGGTAGAGCCTCCACGAGAGATAATTACAGCGTGGACCCTCCAGGACATACTTTTCACAAGTCTTTGTATGACAGCTAGTGGTATTTTCTTCCACTTGGCTTGGAGAAGACATGGAAGTTTCTTCACCGATTTTGCACGGGTAGTGCACCCCTGAATTCGGCGATGCAACTCGTCTCAAAGGTTCTCGATAGGGTTCAGGTCTGGACTCTGGGCAGGCCAGTCCATTAGATGAACTCCATTGGCACCATACCAAGCCTTGGTTAACGTCGAAACATGACAACTGGCATTGTCGTCCTGAAAGTAACAGGAGTCCAACCCGTAAAACTGCCACAACATAGGAAGCACATTGTCATCCAAAATAGTGCAGTAGGCATCGGAGTTGAGCTTACCATGAATGGGGACCAAGGGTCCCAGCCCATACCAGGAGAAACACCCCCAGACCATAATTCCACCTCCGCCGAACTTGACTGCTGGCACAATGCATTCTGGCAGGAGACGTTCTCCAGATTGACGCCAGACCCAGACCCTGCCATCCGAACGGTAAAGGGTGAACCTTGATTCATCACTCCAAATAACCCGTTTCCACTGATCTACGTTCCAATTTCGATGTGCTTTGCACCACATTAACCGAGCAGCGCGGTTGGACTTTGTGATCAAAGGCTTATGGGCAGCAGCACGACTGTGATAACCAAGCAGATGTGCTTCCTTACGGATGGTATTCATTGAAACTCTCGGATGCCTGTTAAAACTCCTCGCGGATGAGGGCCATCGGTTGGGTGCGGTTCTTCCAAATTTCTCTGGACAGCACTCATCGGTCTCTATCTCCCAGTTTCGTTGGTCTGCCGACTCTGGGCACATTACGACAATCACCGATGAAATGCAAGAAAAAATTCGTATAATTTAGTATTCCGTACAAAGAAGTCATGTGGTGTACACATCATATTTTTTCTTTTAGCGAAGCATAATGTTCTAACGCATTTCTTGACCTCAAAATTTTATAGTGCGCATTCTAGAAACTCCCTTCATTTCCGATTGCGACGTATTTCGTCATCACTGCACACACACAATTAGGGGATTTTCGCAAATTAGAAGATTCGATCTTTTTTCTGCGACAATCGTTATTGTAGTTATTATGCAAATGGTAGGGAGGAATGGCCTTGATATGCCTGTCCGTAAGGACTGTAGAATAAATGACTCTTTAGAGATCACATCATTACCTGCTTGTCACATTCCCGAGTAAAATTCGCAGGAAACTCTTTATGCACGTGAAATCCTCAACGTGATTGGATAAAAGTAGTTAAGTTTAAATATCTTCTAATAAATTCAGAATTTATGTTTTGTTCACATACCTTTGTACGTCAAATCACTGTAAAATTGAAGAAAAGTGCATAGTAAGCCACTGTAAACAGTTTTATAAATGGCTAGATTCTTTCACTGGAAAACATTTTGCCTGGAACCGGCCACAATATTTAGTTTTATTATAATGACTAGTAAAATGTGTGTTATGATTTAAAACGTAAGATTTCTCCTGGTTTATTTACAGAGCTCTGTGACCCAAATCCTTGCAAAAACGGCGGAACGTGTAAGATGAAACAGGGGAAAGAGATTTGTGTGTGTCCAGAGATTCTCATTGGAAAACACTGCGAAACAAGTGAGTTTAGTTTCTCCCTTTTTCATACATCGAAATGTGCATTATACAATGAAATATAAGATTTCTAAATGATTTTTAAATCTGGTTTTTTACAGATCTAAATCATTGCAAAAACGGAGGAACATTTGTAGAGAAAGACGGAAAGGAGTCTTGTGAGTGTCCAGATAATTTTATTGGAGAACAATGCGAGACAGGTGAGTTCAGGTTCTATTTTGACTGCATGTCAGAAGGCATCGTGTCCCCGTTTAGTTTTTCACCACTACAAACGTTCTGGAGACGCCAACAAAATTCACCGGATTCACGGAAACGATGCTTTTTGTTTTCTTCTACATGTCTTCGCAGAGAGAACAGCAAAAATCCGGGAATTTCAGCCTTTCCTTTACATCATACAAGAATTTTTTTTTCCTTTACCTAATATTTATTTTTTTAAAATTGAAAGCACATCCAAGTTTTAAAGAGTAGTGAATGCGTACCAGACTGATTGAATTGACCATGTTAAATTTATTCTACTTCTTAGGCAACTAATTTCCATCAACGAGAAAAATCTTCTGACTATTTGCTTTGGAGAGTTGTCCATATTACGTGGAACAATGGTTGCTAGAGCGTACTCCGAAGAGAGGCTAGACTTCTATTTTCCACCCCCAATTCTGAGCGGGAGCACCCCGGGGCGGGGGATCCGGGGGTCTCCCACTCCTCTGTTGTAGAATGTTGGTATTTCAAATTAATATTTCCATATATTATATAACTTGAAATAAACTGTGCATTGAATAAGGGAAACTGTAGAAAAGGGCGGCTCAAAATTTATCATGTTTTGTGTTCATTTAAGGTGCATAATTCTCAAAATATTTTAACTGATTACTTATGAAAAATCCATGTAGTCATATTTTAAAATAACGTCATAGTGAAATAAAAAAAATTTCCATGTTTAGTGTGTTAGATACCACTACTATTTCACATTATTTTATTTATTGTATCAAAATTATATCTGGTTACCAGGTTTAATAAACGGAGCGGCACCATAATATCATTGCATAAAATTTCACAGTTATGTGAGCTCCGATGACGTTTTCGGATTTAACATTGATCTTGAATAAGGCTTTAATGAAAACGCGTGTTACCTACGCTATCGAGAAAGATGGAAACGGAACGCTTTTTAAAAAGCGTCATGTGGGAAAGCTTAAAAGGGAACATGTGCGTTATTCTTTGAAATATAAGATTTAGAAGATGCGTTTTGTTCACAGAACTATGCATCCAGAATCCTTGCAGAAATGGAGGAACATGTATGGTCAACGACCGAAAGGAGTTTTGTAAGTGCCCAAGCTCTTTTATTGGAAAAAATTGCGAGACAGGTAAGTTTAGTTTTTCACTCTGAACTCACATCAGAAAATGAAATTACATTTTTAAATATATTATTTATCATCCATTAAAAATCATTATTGTTATTTTGTTCACAGAACTTTGTGCTCCAAATCCTTGCAGAAACGGAGGAACTTGTGCAGTGAAAGATGGAGAAGAATTTTGCAAATGCCCAGAGACTTTTATTGGAAACACTTGTGAAACAGGTGAGTGCTGTTTCGTTCCTTGAACAAGGTTCAAAATGTGACTTATTTCGGAATTGTAGAACTTAACAGATTTTGGTTTTCTAATTACATGAGTCTGGTCTTAATTTTGTAATGATTTTGTCAGTTCCTAATTAATATTTCCGTGAAAATTTTATAATGTAAGGATATATTTGATAAGGTTATATTGATAAGATATATTTGACTAGTTGGAGCTCTTATGCGTTAGACCTTCTACTTTCAAGCCAAGTATAGTCATAATGAGCAAGGAATTAGTTTCTGTAAGTTGCAAATTTTATACATTCGTTTTTACTGAGAGGTTCAGAGTATTTTGTATACTTCCTCCGTTTTCCATGTTTTGTAGACTAAATTAATTGTAAATTAGTCATGCTCGTATAGTAACTATTCTTTTATAAATGAGTCTCACCACTTTAGAGTTTTGTTGTATTTTATATTCCGAGATTCGTTATGGTGAAGAAGATATCAGAATGTCTGCGGAAAATTTGATTGATGATCCCCTGAAATAAAGCTGCTGCGTTAAAATTAGGTTTTTGGCTATCGGTAATCTTTAATGCTGGTTGTGAAGTTACGACATTTTAAATATCAAGCATAACTTAGAGAAGTTATTATTACTATAACGTCAAAACGTAGCTTCTCTCCCTCTCAAAAATGAAGGTGAACATAAAAAATATTATATTTATTTGGGCTAATTAAAATCATTATAATTTTCCTTTTTTTCTTTTTTTAAAATGTAAGTAATTTAGTTGGCTAGCGTACATATATATATATATATATAATTTTCTGGCAGAGTATAATAAATAACTGTCTTTGTACTCTTATAAATAATAATGATTATTATAATTATTGAGTTATTATTTTATTTCTCTTATTGTATAATTGTTAATATATTATCACTATAATTATAATAATTACACTGTAAGAAACAATTGCTGTAATTATTTAATTATCAATATATTGTTAGTAGTTTTTTATTATTGTATTTTTAATACATTAAAATTATAATTAATTATAATAAAAATCTAGTTATAATTAACATAATAAATAATTAATACTTTGTAGATATTAGGTATTTTCGAAGCAAGAGAGATTAAAAAAATGAACAATGCGCTCATCAGGACTTGAACCACGGACCTATCCAATACGCGTCGAGCGTGCTGACCACTACACCACGAAGGCATGAGAAATACTTTATATACTCTCCCTTTTAAAGGGCGATTGGAGATTTGGGGACCCAATAGCCAAATCCTGGTGGTGGAGAATCATCATCCCCCACATTTTTTAGTTCGGGCGCCACTGTAGAAAGATTAGGTTATTTTCGATGCAGTAGAGACGAATCATGAGCAATGCCCTCGCCGGGACTCGAACCGCGGACCTCTCGAATACGCTTCGAGAGTGCTGAGCACTACACCACGAAGGCAGGTGAAGAAGGCGGGAGAAATACCTTATATCTTTAAAAATAATATTTATGCCAAAGAATAAAATTCCGTGATTTTTAGTGGTATAATTTTTAACAGAAGCAATACACTGCTGGACAAAATTAAGATATAGAATACATTTTTCCTAAATATGTCGAGAAATACTGGATATAAATGAATGAAATTAGGTACGGATATAGTTTATTGTATGACAATAATATGCATAAAACAACAATGAAAATGCTATTCACTAGGATTTGCGGCCAAAAGTCCAAAGTTATTAAAACTTGCGGTTGAAAGATGGCACTGTAAATGAGACTAGTATGGTGTGTGATCACTTCTGACAGATAGACAGCATACACAACGAGTAGCCATGCTGTTAACAGCAGAGTTGAGGAGTGCCTGAGGAAGTCGCAGGCACTCCTCCGCCAAAGCATTTTCTACACTTGAATGGTTCTGGAGAGTTGGCTTATTGCAATAGCTCTCCGAAGAGCATCCAAAGCATGTTCAGTATGATTCGATTTGTTGAATCTCCTCTCTTTCTGGATTGGCATCAACCAGGTGGGTCCTACGTGGTCGTGCATTGTCGTCCATAAAAATGAACTCAGGGCAAATAGCACCCATGTAAAGTGTACATAGAGCTCTAGGCATTCACGGAATCAATGTCAAACAAATGGAGCGTTTTACATGATCCCTGTCCAGACCATCACTCCTCCACTACTATATTTGTCCCTTTCGATGATGTAGCTGGGATGGTATCGAGTCCCAGGCTCCCTCCATATCATTAATCGCCGAAAATCAGGTCGTAGAGTGAATCTGAACATTAGCAATCTCAGCACTGAAGAGAACATTAGCCCACTGAAGCTGTGTCTAGTGTTGATGTTGTATGTGCTATAGTAAACGATCTGTTTTGTGGGAGGGAAGGAGTGGAATACACATAGCGAGCTTACTGGCATACAGTCATATCTCATGGAGCCTTCTGCAACTGTCTTCTTCCTGGAAACTCATGTTCCTGTGGCAGTAGCGAGATCACGAGACAGTTGTGTGGCTGCAGAGGTCTTTTGAAGCTTGGCTGAAAGTACCAAATAACGGTCGTTATTGGTCGTTGTGGCTCTCGGGTGACCTTTCTCTGGTCTTCTGGACTTCGTCCGGTTGTTTTTAAACTGATCTCACAAATTAAAGATGACACCTGGTTTACATCCAGTTCTCTTGCGAGCTGATCTTAGGAATACCATGCCTCAATTCTACCAACGATTCTCCATCTCATACCTTCGTCTAGGCGATGATGTGTATTTACTTCACCTATAAAACAGCAGCAACAACAAAATTCTTCAAGATAACAAAAGTCACTAATGTCCTGCAGAACGGAATAAGCTGAGCCGCTGGACAGAGAATTTTACACCATCTTCTGGCGTAGCGCCGTCTACAGGAATACCTAAACTCGCGCACAGTGATATTATATGACAACAAGGTTTTGTGCGTTATTTTAGGATAAATGTAGGGAAATGTTTTGCCTCTCTTAATTTTGTCCACCAGTGTATGTACACCGCGCAAAAAAGTGGGGCAGTTCTATATCTACCGTTTCATTGGGCCGATTGGACAAAAATTCAGCTTCCGTTTTTCATGTCCCGAAAGCGCGACTCAAGATATGTATTAGATTTATATATAGCATTGTTCTAATATAGGTGTTTTGACACAAAATCGGACTTTTTCTGAAATGACATGCCAATTTTTTCCATATTTCAATTCTACAACTCAAAATATGTTAAACTGCCAAGTTTTGTAAAAATCGCATGAGTAGTTTTTAATAAATTAACTCTCAAAAGTTTATCTCCTCAATGTTAATGGAATTTGGTATATACTTATTAATGTCTCTTTTTTTATTAAACTTTTTACTTTTCCTTTCACATTTCGAAATTTAGGTACATTCCAAAGAAAATTCGCCTCTTTTTTACGATTATTTTTCTAAATTTGTATTTTTAAATAATTCTTATCAATTTTTCGATAAACGATTTTAATTATAATCTATAAAAGTTTTACCATCATCTTAAAGTAGACGTATTTCTAAGCATACCTGCAAAAAATTAGAGTTTTTTATTCAAAATTTCCGAAGATATACGTGAATTTACGTATTGGCGCGTTTTGAAGTTTAGCATACTTGTTGAAAGCGATAATCACATCAAATGTAGTTTAAGCACCTTGCTAAAATTATTTGAAAGTAGGAATGATGTGATTTTTTACCGCTGTAAAAAGGGGAAAGGATAATAGCTTTCCATATATTAAGAAGTTCTACAAGTGAATTATTCTTGGCTCAGAGAGAAAAAATACGCCAAGATAAATTTTTGAATTTCTCCGTAACTTTCCAACTAAATTTTACAAAATTTAATATTTAGACACAATTTGAGTCGTAGAATCAAATTGTGAAAAAACAATTGGCATGTTATTTCAGAAAAAGTCCTATTTTGTGTGAAAATAGAAATATTAGAACAATATGCTATATGTAAATCTAATATATATCGTAAGTCGCGCTTTCGAGAAATGGAAAACGCACTTTGAATTTCATCAACCGGCCCAGTCGAACAGGAGGTACAGGAAAGGTCAATTTTTTTCCACGCATTGTTCATTTAAAATGAATATATTATTTTGAAAGTTGTGCTTCAGTATCATTAATTTTCTGTTAACGAATTAGATACTTAGCATCTATATCTGCGAATATCGTAGCCGGTACGAAAAGCATCTAAAAATAGGATACTCAAACGGGCATTCTCTTCCTCATCAGAAAATATCTTCTTTCCGGTGAACAAGGACTTTATGTGACTCCTCTTGCACGCGGTTCTGTTATTAACACTCATCTTGGACGATGCTTGGACCCAGATTTTGGCAGAATGAAAATCTAGGCTGCACTAGCAATGTTCAAAGTATATTAAGTTGGCAGCAATAATGTATGCTTTCTTCTCTATTCTATCTTTGGCTTTGGATATTTAAGTGGGATTCTAGTCACAAACATTATCAGGTCCTTCCGTGCAAGAATAAATTTAATTCAAAATTTTTGTTATGCAATTATTTTCCTACTAATAGCTTACGTACATACAAGCAGTGAAGAAGTAAGTAATTAAACGTATGGTTAAAATAGAATATCGCTAATAGTATCATATATTGCCTTTGAGTATATGATAAGCTTTATAAACATTTCATAAATTTAAATAAATTAAAAGGTATAGTTTTACAAATACCGCATACATGCATCTTTAGAGGCAGTAGGATTTTTGCTCCCCTCCCCCTCGATGAAATTACTGGCCTTACAGACGCCTTAAGGAAGTCTTTTTGGAGTGTTTCGTTAAGCTAACATATCTTTATCATCTGTTTCGTATGAAGAATGTTATCCTAAAAGAGCTACTGCCTTGCTTTTCACCGGTGAATTCAGCTGCAGTTATAAGTCAATTGCAGATAGTATAAGGTATTTCTGTATGCCTGTGTGGTGTAATGGTCAGCACACTCGGCGCGTATTCGAGAGGTCCAAAGTTGGAGTCCCGGCGAGGTCATTGCTTATTTTTCCTGACTCCTGCA